TGTCACCGCCGAATCTGTATAGCCGTCCTCTATATCTGGGATCGAGTTGACTCCCTAAGCACGTTTGAAAAGCTTCTCAAGCTTGTTCACTTTCAAGGCTGTAGGATCGACCTCAGACTCGAACGGTGTATCTGTTGGGTAGGCCGGTGCTTTGGAAGTCTGAGGTGGGATTGGCCCTGCTGGAATGTCCGTATTCTCCTGGGCATTAGTTGTGTCCCCGAGTATTGGAACCCTAGGTGGGGCTAGGTGCGAAGCAGAAGCTGCTGCTTGTTGTAGTTGTTGTTGTTGCTGTTGAAGCCTGGTAATTACTTCAACTTGCTGGGCTACAACCTCTGTTTGACGAGCGGTAATTTTCGCTTGGCGAGCAGCGTCTCGCTACATGGCCTCGATAGTTTGTTAAAGTTGACGCATCATATCCTCCATACTGACTGAGGGGTGCTGATCTATCTGACTCGGTGTATACTTTGTTTCTGAGGTAGAAACAGAAAACTGGACCCAACTGTGCACAGGTGACTGACGAACCGGTGAACTATGCCGAACTCTTCTCTATCTTGTAACCAGGGGGAGCGAAGCAAACACTAGTTGTCCTCTCACAAGATCCCCAGATCGATAAAGCCTCCTTACTCTGGTCTAGAGTGCTTCGAGGGTAACTGCCTCATCAGAAGCAATGGTGAAGTGCTACCTTGCAAAAAGAAAATAAAGCAAAAAAAGAAACAACAATCAGCAAACACACAGTACCTCGGCTTAGATAAAGACAACACACAGTTGAAATCATAAGCTGGACAATCTGTACTCAAACACTGATTTCTGCCCCGAAATTTTCTGCCTCAAAATTGATATCCCCAAACTGATACCCAGACTTATAACTAATACATACATTCTTATAGAGACACACCCTAATAGCACATATCAAGCAAGCCAGAGCCAAAACACCCCTATGGTGGGGTAGGGTTTCCCTGTTCTAGTTTCGTCAGGAACTAGGGGTTCACTACGCACGCATGCAGTTTCAAACAATCCTGCATTCGTGTGAGCAACATGTCCTAGTTTGGAACAGCCTTTAAGGCTTCTGATATGCAACTTGGTCAGTTGGTCAAAAAAGGATGCCTCAGCAAGACCACCTAATATACCTCTCGCTCCTAACACCGAGAAGTGAAAGGAGGATCAAACGGTACAGCGGTAGTCCAGATCCAAGGTTTGTATTCCCATCATGGCAGAGCCCGTAATCGGTCAGCCTTATGGCAAGCTTTTCCAAGCGAGCCTCCAACAAACCGTTCAGGAATAGCAGACAACAAACACTGTGACTTAGGCGCACCTATGCAAATGCAATGCAAAGAAACACATAAATGTAGATAAAACAACATATCATGAGTTCGAGTCAAGTTCTCTAAATCCCCAGTAGAGTCGCCAGAAATTGTAGCTCGACTTTCTTCGCATTCCCCTTTTCGGAGAGCTCTAATTGGTCCTACAGTTCGGACTCTTGTCATGGTGCTGAATCTAATCTCACAAAGTGCAATGTGAGACTGATAAACACCAAAGAGTCCAATCCGGCAAATCATTTTGGAAAATCATATTTTAGATCAAATAATGTCAAAACTGGACTGCTTTGCCAAATTACAGAGTCGCCACCTAAATATTTTAGTTTTTCGAAATTTAAGAAACCTTGACTCATGCCTAAGGCCACATGTCTGTCATCACCAAAGTTACCTCGGCTCAGGAACTTGGGTATGAGAGGGGAAGGTCTTGAAATGAGCACCCCCGCTTGCCCGATCAAAGATCGGCCTCTACTAATCATGATATGTTGTTTTATAAATCACATGTGTTCTTATCCAGTTATTAGCTAACTTTACTACGTGATGCACACATGTAAGTATAGACTAAATCGCAAGAATTGGAACAAAACAATTCATGCTTGTTTTCGAAAATGGTTTGAAGGTGCCACTCTCAAGTGGGCTAAAACGCGGATTTGCCACTCTCAGATGGGCTTAAAACATGATTTTGCCACTTCGCAAAATGAGCTTAAAACTCACATTTATCAAATTGTCCCAATTCAAGCAACAAAGCCTTCATCTACAGGCATTCATGCAGTTAGCATTTTAGCAAATAGTCTCATGGCAAGCATGCTATTACAACAACACTCACACACATGCAAGTATGCTAAAGCATAAAACTTACAGTGTACTCCAAGTTAGGAAAGAAAACAAAGTTAGAATAATGCATGATTCCTAACTATGTTAAATGCCTAATGCAACACATGCAACATGACATTAAATAGGCTCGGCTACCTAATCATGGCATTTGATACAACTTGATAACATGCTTTGAAACACGTATTCAAAGAAGTGTATTGAAATTGACAATGCAGTTTGAATGATGCGTCGAGCCTGGTGCATGCAAGACGAATGAATGATGCAAACATGCAAGGTATAAGGTATGCTAATTGAAATGTGCCCTAAACTAACCATCGAAAGCGGTTAAGTAAAAGAGAGAAAGAAGTGGGGTTGAAAGACATGCACACACACACGCACACGCACGCTTATTACAAAATTGCGCCCTCGCGAAGGAGGGTCCGAATAAATAAGCTCAGCTAATCTAAGCTAAGCTATATGAACTAATCTAATTAAACTAATTAGACTAATTATTACAAAACAAAATAAAGAAATAGCTAAACTAAGCTACTTAATTATTACAACACTTAACTAATTAGCAAACTAATTAATTAAACGACAAAACCATGCTGACTAAACATGTAAAGCACTAACTACACTACCTCAGCTCTGCTCTAGGAAATTGAACATGCATGCATTCGGTTGTCGCCCTGAAATGCCCACCGGTTTGCTCTTGAGAGGCTCTGTTTGCAGGGTTACTCCAAGAACTTTCTGCTCCACCTTACCAATTCAATGCAGAGGAATGCACGAGTGGCCTGCCGGCCATCTGCTGGCCAAAACGGTGTGCTGCCGGCCAAGGATGAAGCATTGTCGGCCATCAGTGAGCCACTGCCAGCCACTAGTGTGCTGACTTGCCACACTGCAACAGAGCACAAACAGAGGAAAATGGAGGGTTTTCTAAGGGTATGTTTGTACTGTGGCCCTCTTTATCATCTCAAAACATCAAAGGAGTGGCACTCTTGGATCCAAAACCACCAATCAAACATTTTCAATGCATGATGGTTAAAGATCCAAGTTGTACACTTTCAATAAATGCACAAAAACAAGACTCAAATGACCATTACCTTATCATGTATGATCAAGGATGATAGAGACAAAGGAGATTGGCTCATTTCATCACTTTGAGTATGAAATGGACCAATCTACCTTGTGTTCAATATAACGTCCGATTGAACACAATGCAATGCAAACACAACATGCTTATCTTGGTCATGTTTTGCTTGTCCAATTCTTGTTTACTCATTTTAGCATTACCAAGTCATTCTTTAACCGGTTAAGTCCAAGATGAGTGCTCTCTAATGAGAGAGGGGTCAACCAAAAGATGGCTTAAGACATGAGAGAGATCATGCCTTTGGTTAGTAGAAACCCTCAAAAGAGAGTTAAAACCATTGAGCACAAGCTCTATCTCAAGCTTAAACACAATCTTAAGGTTAACCAACCCTCAAAGAAAATGAAAAAGTGAAGAATAGAGGGAGGTTACAGAATTTTCAGTGCTGAAATGGCATGAAAAATAGTGCTACAACATGCAAGCAACACATGCACAACATGTTCAACGCTTCAAAACAGTAAACTAGTGAAGAGCACTACACTAGAGGCATGCAATATCAAGCTCAGATGACCAAACCAGCTCAAAACAGAGCTAACACATGCCAAAACAGAGGCCAAAATATGCTGAGATGGTAGCATAAAAAGCTAGAAAAACATGCTCATGTGTTGGCTCATAAAGCTCAACTCTTAAAAGCAATGAAAGAGTGAAATATATGAGAGTGTGACAGAGCTATATGCACTGAAATCATATGCAAAATGATGCTATAACATGCAAGCAACACATGCACAACATGTTAGAGGCCTTAAAACACAAAGCTAGTAAAGGCCATTTGCGCTACAACCATGCAAGACAAGGCTCATATGACCAAGAAGGCTCAAAATAGATCTAAAGCTTGCTAAATCAGTAGCAAAAACATGCTGAGATCAAGTCACAAATATGTAGAAAAACATGCTCACTTGTTAGGCTATCTACACTTACAAAAAAGACACAAATAAGGGAGGCCACCCCCTCCTATTTTGGACCTCAAAACACACTTTTTACCACGAAATTCCCCTAGAATTCAATGGTTAAAAGGCCAAAAAAAAGGTTTTTTTAAAAGCTTGAAAAGTGGCACAATACTTAACCAAAGAAACTTCAAAAAGGGTGAATCACCCCTAACTCCAAACCAAACCTCAAACCACCATTTTAAACCATAAAAATAGAGATTTCAAAGGTCAAAATCAGCCTCAAAATAGCATGCAAAGATGGCCAAACAAGTATTTAAATTAAGCTAAAAATACAAGAAGTTATACCTCTTTGAAGAGAAAATGCTATATAGGTAACAAAGGCAAGCCAAACTAAGCTAAAACCCTCTTTTAGAGCTCAAATAGGACCTCAGGCAACCTCAACACCAAGATAATCATGTTTGATCAAGAGCTCACAAGCAAAAGTGTAGAGAATTCAAGCTTTAAGGCAAAATATTTAGAGAGAGAGAGGATTCTAGAGAGAGAGAGAGAAATTTTTGTCTTCCAAAATTTTCAACCCTTTGCATGCAAGAGGATGACCTCTACATATAGAAGATACAAAATCCTCTTGAAAAGATTCAGCCATCCACGTGCAAGCAGATGCTCCAACCTGTGCAAACAACTGGCACAAAATATCACAAAATATTTACTGATGCACTAGTGGCCAGTCGGCCATCAGTGATGACCGGAAGGGGCTTATTGATGGCCGGCAGGGCACATTAATGGCCGGCAGGCCAAAGTCCATAGCCGACAGTGCCCAAAAGTGGCCGGCAGTGCTCTAAAAGCAACATGCTAAAAGGACCAAAACATGGTCCAAAAATGAGATAGAACTGATGCAGGGTTTGGAAAGCTCAAACTTGTGGCGCTCCGCCGCGGAGTTCGAGTGCTCGACGAGCAATCAAGCTTGTCCCTGGATGTACCTACAAGAACATCCAGGTCTTGAGGATGGTAAAAAATGGGGTGTCTATTACACTATCAGATTCCCATTAAGTCTGCACCAGATGGTCACGAGCTTGTCGGAGTACAAGGCCCGACCCCGGTATGTTCCATACTTTACATTTTGCGCATTGAGTTCATTTCAATTATGCTTTATAGACCACTGATCATCTCAACACATTTACTGGCATCCATAGAGTACACCGGGTAGGCTCTCAAGCTAGCGGCTTCTCTGATGGGGATGGTTCAGACGGGCATGAACCTGCTCAGCCTCTACAGGATTCCGGTAATTTCCTCTAGTTTGCACTTCATGCCATGAAATTCTCTGCTAATGCATTAGCATTTTAACTATTCCACACTACACTGATCTGATTCATTGCATCAAAACACTGCATAGATACTCTGCTCCCATACACTGCATATATACAATGCATCTGATATACACCATCTGATATACACCACAACTAATGTATTCTCACAAACTGTCCTTTTCAGATCCCTTTCCAGACCCCGGCTCCACCGGACAGCAGGACCTTCAGTACCTCCACTAGCAGTAGGAAGGAAAGGGAGGTAGACTCCGATACGCAACCGAGGCAGGGTTAGGGGCACCCGCAGCGAGAGTGGCCTTTCAAAGCCTATTCTAGGCGGCTATGATGACGACGAGACGAGCGAGGAGGAGGCTGAGGAAGCGAGTCCACAGTCAGAGTTATCTGAGGGTGGATACGACGATGCTAGCTCAGATTCTGCTAGCGGTGAGGCTGGAGAGGCTAAGGAGGACTTCGGTTCAGACTCTGATTCAGATTCGGACAGCGATGCCGATAGTGATAGTGCTCCAGAGTTCGCTTCGCCGAGGAAGATGACGAAAAGGGCCTCTCGAGCTTGAGATAGCTGGCACTAATTTAGATGCTTTTTGCTTTGTTTTCTTTTTGTTAGTAGTGTTAGCACATTATACAGCCTTAGGCAGTTTTATTTTCTTAAAATTTGTACTCTTTTGCAAAAAAAAAGTGACCATGATTGGAATGAAAACTCAACTTTTTGGTTTAAAAAGTGTTGCATTTTGTATTCTGAGCATCACATAACATCGCACAGCATGAAAATGAGATTGATTTTTTTGAAAACTGCACATTCAAATTGCATTGTCTTAATTAGGTAGTGAACCAACTAACAACTGAGAAAACAAAACAACTCGATAAACAACAAAAGGCCTTGACAGGCTAATCAAATGTAAGTACAACTCGATAAGCAAATTGCAGCAGCTCGATAAACAACATAAATACAACTCAATAAACAAAACCAAACGATTACAACTTAAATAAACATACTCAAGCCCAAAAGGACCACAACACGACCTCAAAAGGTACGAATAACGGAATTCCACTGCAATAAACAATTGAATCTTCACAAAGGAGGTCAGTGAGCCTGAAAGAAAGGCTGTCGGCCACGGAAGATGGCATGCCAGCCATCAATGAGCCACTGCCGGCCATCGATGAGCAGAACCTCCGAAACTTGACACCTGGCCTCTACTCACTTCCTTATCTTCTATAAAAGCCCCAGCTTTGTGGTTTCCTCATTCTAGCTTTATTTTTGCCCAAAATGGAGCCATTCTTTGCCGAAAAACTCTCAAATTGGATTGCAACTTTAGATGGCTCAAAAAAGTTGAATTTCTGGGGTTTCGGAATAAATGCACTATTCCCGCTAAGCCGCACTCCGCTGTGTTTTCCATTCCTCCACACCGCGGGTAGATGTTGGAATTCGATTACACATATTTTCAGCTTTGGCGGACAAGAGATATGCCCCACAATCGAAGAATTCCAAGCTTTGATGGAATGTCGGCTCGACAAGGAGATCTTGCCCCAGTCTCGTTTTGGCCATATCCAGACTTTAGGAAGGATGTGTGGGCTCACTTTACATGATGCTCGGTCTTTAGTTCACAACGGAGAACTTGACATTCCCAGCTTGATTCATCGGTTTTCTGATGCCAGCGACCGCGGTGACCGTATTTGGCAAAGTTTTCGGCAGCATGCCCTCTGCTTGTGTATGTTGGCTCATTTTCTGCTTGCCTCTCGTTTCGGAGGTTCTAGCATTTGCTTGATCGAAGTTGTCCAAGGTTTGAAAGAGGGCAAGAGCTGTATTAGCTTGACACTAGCTGAGACTTTGATGGGCTTGGATGTTTTTCATCGCTGGGAGACAACCAAGTTTGCAGGAAGTCCACTACTCTTGCAGGTAATGTTTCCCACCCATCTCACATGTGTTTCTCACATTACTCGGCCCTTAGGCTCTGTTTTTCTCTGAAAAATCCTTTCTCACTTTTCCTCTCTACGTACACCTCTCTATTCTTTAATCTCTCTTATTTTTCATCCCTCTCTAGGTATGGCTCATGGAGATGGAGAAGTTGAAAGTAGTGGGTGCTTGTCCTGCATATTCAGCACGCAGCTATTTCTTTCGCCGACGGGATGGTGGTGACATTGGATGTGCAACAGATCCGCTGTTGACATTGCTTAGTGTTGCCCCTGGTTTGATCTACCTGAGATGAGCTACAACATGTCTCGCCAACCTGGTATTCAGCTAATTGGCTTGATGCACTGTGTCTTCTACTTTCCATTCCGATTTAGGCGTCAGTTCGGACACGACCAGACTTGCCCAGAAGAGGGGATGGAGTACCCAACTTCATTTTTTATCCGAGGATCACAGCTAGCTCAGTATTCCACTGCATGGAACATAAGAGAACTTCTGGCTCCCGCTCCCAATTTCAATTGCACCCTTTCTGGCATATGCATAGCTTGGCTTGAAGATGAGGCACAAACCGGGCCTACTTTAGCATCCGAAGCTTCCACAAGCTCTGGGAGGGGGCACAAGAACACCTAACTCAACTATGCCCCAAGTTTATTGCTTTAATCTGTACTTTCAAGTTTTCTTTTGAATGTAATAAAAAGCAACTTCAATTTGTATCAAGAGTTGGAGAACTCTGTATTGAAATCAATGAAATTGAAGGTTGTGGGTACTGAAAATTGTCCTTTTGGTCCAAAAATGGTCTAAGTTGTAAAAAGATTAATTTGAACAAAATCAACTTTTATTAAAACTTTTCAAAACCATTTTCGATATGGATCACAACTAGACACAGCCGGAATCTATCGCTGAGATGTACCCAAATCCGATAACTAGAAAGTTACCCCTTGTCTGAATAACACTGTACTGGAGATCACAACCGAACTCTTGGATGCAGAAAAGACAAAGATGATCAAAACAATCACATGGACACAGCTGATTTTGAAGTGTTTATGGCTGGACTTCAGAATGAAGTTGTCTACGTATCCCGAAGATGAGAATCAAGCCTTACGTAGTTCGGTGAGGGTTCACTTGCGTGTTAACACTCTCCTTTTGCGCTCTAAATTTTGCCAAGGCTGCCCCTTTTAGGTTTTCAACCTTGCGAGCTCAATTTTTCTTTTTTTTTCAAAGCTTGAAAAGTGGCACAACACTTAACCAAACAAACTACAAAAAGGGTGAAGCACCCCTAACTCCAAACCAAACCTCAAACAACCATTTTAAACCATAAAAATAGAGATTTCAAAGGTCAAAACCAGCCTCAAAATAGCATGTAAAGATGGCCAAACAAGTACTTAAATTAAGCTAAAAATACAACAAGTTCTACCTCTTTGAAGAGAAGATGCTATATAGACAACAAAGGCAAGTCAAACCAAGCTAAAACCCTCTTTTAGAGCTCAAATAGGACCTCAAGCAACCTCAACACCAAGATGATCAAGTTTGATCAAGAGCTCACAAGCAAAATTGTAGAGAATTCAAGCTTTAAGGCAAAATATTTAGAGAGAGAGGATTCTAGAGAGAGAGAGAGAGAAATTTTTGTCTTCTAAAATTTTAAACCCTTTGCATGCAAGAGGATGACCTCTATATATAGAAGATACAAAATCCTCTTGAAAAGATCCAACCATCCATGTGCAAGTAGATGCTCTAACCTGTGCAAACAGCTGGCACAAAATATCTACTGATGCACTAGTGGCCGGCCGACCATCAGTGATTGCCGGCATGGGCTCATTGATGGCCGGCAAGGCACATCAATGGCCTGCAGGCCAAAAGTCCATGGCCGACAGTGCCCAAAAGTGGCCGGCAGTGCTCCAAAAGCAACATGCTAAAAGGACCAAAACATGGTCCAAAAATGAGATAGAACTGATGCGGGGTTTGGAAAGCTCAAACCTGTGGCGCTCTGTCGCGGAGTTCGAGTGCTTGACGAGCAATCAAACTTGTCACTGGATGTACCTACAAGAACATCCAAGTCTTGAGGACGGTCAAAAATGGGGTGTCTACACACGCATGCAGATAATATGCCATAATCTCTTTTCTAGGACATCCTATAGCTCATTTGGACGTGTGTGTGCGGTATAACTCATGCTCTGAGACCACTCTATCACAACCCAAACCCACCCCTATAGGTTTAGTGTCATAACCGGCCAGTAATCTGCGATTACCGAAGGCCTCACTGAGCTAAGCAAGCAAACGGGGGTAGTTGAAGCTAATATGCAAGAAAACAAAACGTCCAATGAGCTGTAAATTTACATAAGACAAAAGATATTGCTATATATGTATACATATATACACGCAGAAGTACAACATACTATTACAAGTTTGTCTAAAAAGACAAACAAAAGGGGAAAGTTACTCCCATTGACAACAATTATGATGCTAGTGACAACCTGACCAAAACATATGAGTGCATAACAAAAGGGTGAGCACTGGCCACACCAAAACTTAGGTAGATGGAACCTCGCAGTGAGGCACGGTGGTTAGCTTGACAAAACCAGAGTAAGACCGACGCCACTACGTCCTTTCCTGAGCTGGATCACCTACATAGTATACCAAAATGAGAGCTAGGGCCCAGTGAGTAACAACTGAATAAAGAGATTTTGAATGATAATTATAACACAAAATAAAACATAAACTAAGCAGGTTCATACGACATTTGAGAAGCATAACATTTCGCGTAATATATTCAAAAGTAGTAAATACAAGTGGTCTAGAAGACCGAACAAATGGTCATGACGATCAGACAGGCGGTCAGGAAGACCGAACAGACGGTCATAAAGACCGAAGATCAGATATGTTAGCTATTGCCATATTAAATAGGAAATGGAACCGACAGAACTGTACTCATATGAAGAGGTGCCAGGGTTGTCATAGTAAATAATGGAAACTAGGATAGAATTATCATTCATCCATATGAGAAATATATCGGAATAACGCATAAGTTGAAGCAGAGAAAAGATAATTTAAATCAAATATATATTTACAACAGCGTTGCTCACAGTGGGTTTCGCGATGCAGGTGACTGGAACTTGGTGTTTGACCTACACAGACAAATACAAGCGTAGAACTAGCTAATTAGTTTCATCTCTTAAACGTTGGTCGGTCTGAAAGTCGTTCACCCCTGTTAAATGCTTTGGCAATGCAAATGGACACTAATTACAGATGTAAATTATGTTGACGGAGGCTCAGGAGTGGGGTAAATAACACAGAAAAATGAAACCGAGGTTGCGAAACTGCCGCACGTGCAGAGGTCCTTGGCCACACGTGCGGGGCCCTCTCCGTACGTGCGCCGCACGTGTGGTTCTAAGTGCTTTTATTTCAGAATGCACCTTCCTCCCCCCTTATTTTCCGCACGTGCGGGCCTAACCGCCGCACATGCGCCGGTGCTCTCCTACACATGTGGTCTTCCTAGCCGCACGTGCGGTTCTGGGTGTTCCAAAACCGAGTTTCTCCTCTGTTTTTTTGGTTCCAAATTCCTCAAACTCAAACCCAAAGTCAACCAAATTAAAGGCCAAAAATTAATCAATTTGATGTATGGACAAAAAACCAAGTTCAAACTAAGAATAGAACTCTAAATCCAAGCCAAATCCCACAATCTTATGAATCACTTAAGGTTGAAGA